GAATTTAATATGTAAGATAATTATTGTGTAGATAACTATTACTAAAAGGATAATTTGTAAATAAGAATTTGCCAAGTCGAGTTTTAGTTTGTTTCTATTATATCGTTCGCAAAAATCGAAATCTTGAGAGGCCATTTATTTTATTTTAATAGGGAAACTTGATATTTATATATTTTCAAACCCCGATCCATTTTTTGGATTCTCAGAACTAGTATTCCACATTACAGCAATTTTTTTTAAAGCTTCAGAATTTGTCTCACATGCTTCTCTTATGTTTTGAAAATTATCTTGAACGAATAATTGGTATTTTGTTTGCTTTTTTTTAACCTCTTCTGTTTTATTTTTTGTTTTTCTTTTTCTTTTTGTTGTTTTTTTGTTATCATCATTATAATATATATCGGCTAATTGTTTGATATTTGTCAGATTTGTTATCACATAATAGGGATCGTAATTTGTTATTTTTTCGATTAGATCTTTTTTATCAACTGAGTTTCTTATGAATTTTTTAAGTTTTGTGTTAGCTACTTTACCCATTGTTATTTTATATATTTTATATAAAGCGAGTTTGTACTATTTATATTTTATTATGAAACAAAATAAATTTTTTTCCGATTTTGACAGAATTATTAAATCGATGGCAAATGAACCGAGTCTTGTAGAATTGCTTAAGCGTTTGAGACTAACACGTCAAGAATTGGTCGATGAATTTGATGAGATAATCGAAGAAAAAAATAATACTATTAATGCATTTATTAAAGTAAATAAGTTCATATCAACCGAGAAATATTATTACAGAACATATTGGTTCACAAAACTCTTCAGTGAGATGTCAGATCAGATCAAAGATACTATCATAGATATGTACGATAGGATATCGGTATTATTTCCTTATCCTTTAAACACGATTATGAAGAATAAGATGATGAAAAAAGTTATATTTGATGGTGTGTTTAAAAAAGTTTCATTAAAAACTGTGGCTGGAATATTAGGATTTATAGAATTGTCATTAACTTATCGTTCCATTAGACTTGTTGAAATTTATATTTACAATTTTATATTTTTAATTTTTGCAATCCATTACATGAATCACATATTCAAGTTAGATATAGTTTGTTATACAGTTTAGCTATTTATTTAAAGAAATTTATTTATAACATATAAAATAAAAAAAAACAGAAAAATAAATTAAACTATTCCTTTTTTTCTTCTTCTATTTCTATATCATTATATTTTTCTTGTTTGTTATCAGATTCTCCTAAAATATTATCAATTTTTAAAAAAATATTTGAATTTTTTTCATGATTGTAACTACGAATACTACTAGGTTTAGTAACCGAAAACTGCATCATATCATGAAATGAAAGAATTTTTTTGTTCTTAAAATAGAATGTGTATCTAAATAAATTGGTCTCAACGAAGAAGCAAGGAATACCATTATAATTATCAGATTTAGAATAAGTTTCAACTTTATCTCCGGAAACATATTCATAAAAATAATCTTTAGATGGCGTAATGATTTTATCGTTTTTAACGAAAACCATTCTTAGATTACTTGCACGAACTTTTTCTAAAACAAGAAGAGTATCATCATTGTTGTTTTTAAAAATTCTACGACCTTCTACTGCAGATTTTTTAAGGGAGATAACGCCAGCTTTAGACATATCTGTTTCTTTGTAATAGATTTTTTTTTTATCAAGTTTTTTTTTCGATTTTATTTTCATTTTTTTTTTTAGCAGGATTTTATATTTGTTCTTGTGTTTTATAGTTTAACTAAATAAAGAAATTCATTAATAAATGAGTTACCATAATTAAAATTTAATCGGAGTTATTAATTTTTATTCCAGGTTCAAAAGATCTAAGAAAATACTTCTAAAATACATTAACGTGTACCAGAACCCGACCTTATAATAAACATAAAAAATTATTATCCACATTATTGTTTTATAAATATTATGATAGCCTATTTTAAAAAAATGAACCATAATTCCATAGATTATATTTATCAAACATAGAACAATTATACTTAAGATAATATTTTCATAATACTGTTCATATATCCATATAATTAATCTATAATACCCCTGCCATGTATAATAGATATCGGAGAATTGTAATATATGAAATATAAGCTGCAATTAAACAAATTAATTAGCCAAGTCAATTTAACAACAAAATAACAGAGCAAAACTTACGTTAATCATTTTAATCGGGTTTGTTTTAAAAAAAGTAAATCAATTTTTTTTTATAGTTTTTTACTGGTGTAACAATTTATTTATCTTTTGATAATATATAAATAGAATTGATATAGCTGATATAATTAATAATCATCAAAGAAAAAAAAAAACTAAAGTGCACTTTTATTTATTTTATATTTTATATATTTTATTATATTAATACGTATTTTTATTATTTATATTTAGATATTATGAATAAGAATAAGATTTTAATTATTTTTTTATTTTTTGTTTTCATAAGTTTGGGTTTTGGTAAACAACTCAAAAAAAGGAAAACTAGTTGTTCAATTTGTCGTGCCGCTGACATGGATATGTTTGGTTTTAACAAACGTACTCACGTTGCTGTTGGAAACCACAAACACAAACGTGATTCATCCAAGAAATATAAATGTAGTATTTGTGGTAGCGTGGGCCATAATAAACGAACCCATCCTAACCATTAAGTTAAATGTTTTAAGATTAAGTAAATAAAATAAGTTTTATAAAATTATAAACAAATAAGTTGAAATAGTGATTTTATTTTAATCTAATATCATAAAAATTTATTTAATACATGCTTATAACTTAATTTAAATTGCTTAATTTCAGATTTTTGCCATATAACTAATCTAATTCTATTCGTTTGCCAATTTTATCATTTGCTATTTTTAATCATTTATAATTGAATTAAAAAAGATTTAGGTTCGGGTTTCAAACTAATTTTTTTTATATCGTTAAAATAAAATTTATATTTATTCGGGTGAGTGAGTAAAAAATATTCAGTATAAGGCATTTTTATGTTTTTGATATTATTCGTCTTGTCTTCACATTTAATTTCTTCTGGAACGTCACATTCTTCTTCAGAGTCTTTTAAAAGAAAAAAACCACGTGCGTGCTTCGGTTGTAGTAAGGTTTCAATTTTAAAGAAGAAATTTGTTTCTTCTAATTCAACGACTTCTTTATTGGGACCAGGAAAATTTAATCTTTTAGGCATTTTTAAGTTTTATTAAAAAAAGCATTTTATGAATCCTGTTATTTATAAGTAATTTTTAAATACATGGAATTCAGAGAAAAACAAATAAAACTATTTTCCAATATATAAATCATATATAAATCAAATTAGAAAACAACTTTTAAACAAAACTTAAAAAAAGTTAATCTTCATTATACATGAATCAAGTTGATCAAATACAAATGATAATCGAGATAAAACTTAAGTTTTTGTGTAAATTAATATTTATAAATTTGAAATCCCCCATTTACTTTAGTTGTCATACCACAGATACAATATCCATAATATTTAAAAACATATTTATTATGATTATTAATCATAAAATATTCGGTTGTTGGCATTTTTGGATTGTCTTTTTTTATTTGTTAAGTTTCGACAAACAATTTTGTTTGGAATAGGAATGTTTTGATCTGATTCATCCAAAAAATAGACCATAGCGCAGCCAGGATTCGGTAAGGCTTTAAATTCTATTTTAAAGTTATTGTATACAAGAGAGCAACTTTCGGGAGGTAAAAAATTAATGATTTGAATAAGATACATATCAGTAATTATTTCAATTTTTTGAGATTATTGAGGAGTTTTTTTTGGTTTTTATCGTTAAAATTTTAGTTATATCATTTTTAAGTGAGCATTAGACATATGAATTCTGCAAGAAACCATTGATGTATGGTTATTTTTTTTTAAAAAAAAAAAAATATTGAGCTTTATCTTTTAATCAATAATCATATATCAAGTAAATCTTAAATGATTCTATTTAGATTTTGGCATCGGCTTTTCTTACATAAATGCTTCATTTAATATATCGAGAATAGTCATACATTTAAGTTTTTTGTTGGTATGATTTACACATATTACTTTGTAAGAATATACCTTTATTTATACTAGTGAACATTTTTTATCTCTTCACTATCAAACTATTTTTATTTACGTGTTCAATGTAAACTCTTTGTTAAAAATCTAAATTTGATAGTTTATATTTTCTAATTGCTTCAATAAGTCTGTTCCACAAATCATCTTTATGTTTATGTCTCCAGACAAATTTTTTCTTTTTAACATCGAATTTTTAATAAACAACTTTATATCTATTTCGATTTCCAGTTTTTTTATCGTGTTCAAATTTAAAAGCTATAGCTTGTTGTTTTGCTTTTTCACTATTTCTATCTTTTGTAATTTGAAATCTTTTAATTTTATTTTTTTTATTTTCTTTCTAGTTAAAATCCCAACAATTTCGAGATTTAACAAAACAAATTCCATTATAACCGCTAGAATTATTTTTTCTTAACTTGCCATTGAGCATATTTTCTTGATATGTTGTTTCTCTTAAATTAATCTCACGATTATCAAGACCACACCGATTTATATGATCTATTATTTTCAATTTTGGGAAAATCAGTCTATGTTAAGGATTTCGAAATCCTTGAACTTTTCTGACCAATTCAACATTTTTATTAATAAAAAAATTACAGAGTTTGAAAGTATTTATATAATTTTAATTATGTTTTATATTTTCTAATCGTGTCTATAAGCCCACTTCAAAGATTGTTTTTATGTTTACGTCTCCAGACAAATTCTTTCAAATGCATTTCAATTTTTTCTTTTATCATATTTCTTTTTAACATTGTTTGTTTAACACCACTCCAAGTTTCTTCAATATATTGAGTATGAATTCTTTTTATAATTTGATTTTTACTTGGTTTTTTATGATTAATTCTTCTATGCTTAAATCCCATTCCTATTTTTTCTAATTCACTATATCCTTTCCACAAATCAGTATATATTGTTGATCTGGGTTTTACATGTGTTTTAATTAATCTTTTAAGGGTATAAGCATTTCGATCTTTAACCATTTTAAAAAAGCATTTTTTTAGATTAGTTCTT